AAGAATGTTTATCGTAATAAGAAAATATATCTTTCTGGGTTGGATTCGCCTGGGACAATTTTTTTTCTCGACGATGTCCTATATTCCACATCAAAATAACTTTTCTAAATTCTATAAAATTTGAACGATTTTATCTTGTTATAAATTAGAAAAATAAAGATGATTAAAAAAACTTCAAATATTTAATTTTATTTATCCGGTTTTAATTTATTTAACGAGGAAAGGTTTTTGCCATTATTATGGTTTATAAAGCCCGAAAACATTTTAACGTTTCTGGTGGAAATTTGAAGTATAAAAAAATATAAATAAAGGCCGACTACGTTTTTTCATACATATTCATATAAAGAAGAAAGACAACAAGAAAGATTGCTTCTTTATATTGAATGGACAAATAATCGGAAAAAAATAACAACAAAAAAATATGACATTAGTAATTCAAATCACAGTTCTTCTTTCATTGACAAAAATTGGCGAGATGTTTTAAGCTTATTAAAAACAACAAAAATGTACGTATTATGCTTCAACTGTGGATATTTAAAACAACTGACCGGTTACATATCTAAGTAGCCTCCTGAATTTTGAAACACAATGTTGAAAAAAAAGATGTCTACATTGATGAAAATTATAAGAAGAATATAAAATTATGTGTGTGTGTCATAGTACATTAAGGATTATTTCTTAGTTTTACCTTCAAGAAAAATTATGTCATGTAAACTACAGAAGTCGAAAGCAGAAAAAGTGAAAAAGACAAAAAGGCTTTTAAAAGACTTTTACAAATACGCACCGCGACGAAATACAACAGCTTAACTTAGTTAACCGTTGCGGCCACCGACGCTCCTTAGCAGAAATATTACTGGCCAACATATTGTCAATTTAAAAGCAAACCCAAACAAATGTGAATTATGAAGTCAAATTATTGATATTTATAGTTACATAAATAAAACAAAGAAAGAGAGGGTTTTTTTATACAAGGAAATTTATATTGTTGATTGTTCTGTATACATAACAATTATATGTTTCAATTATACTGTATTATCCATATGTATAATAATTGGGAAGTTGCTGTAAATGAAATAAACAATTTTAACATCCGCCGCATCCAAAGTTCCCCATCCTTAATCCTAAGAAAAATCTCGCTCCATTTTATGTGACCAACAAAACTACCTATACAGACCTAAATATTTCTTTAGTCCGAAAAATCCGCCCCCAACCTACTTAAGTTCTCATATCCAAAAACTCTCATCCCGGCGATTTCACTCAACCCTCCTCGCCGATAGAGGCGATGCCCGCGAGATCTCTAGTCAATGACAGTGATAGTGACACTAGTGACGCATCCTTGTTTTAATTGTACACAATTTTTTTAATAAAACCAACAAAAATGGTGACTAATTAATCAAACAAAATTATCTGTACATAAAAATGACATAGCATAAACACTCAGGAGAAAAATAACAATTTTTATAAATTAGACTCTGTGGTTCGTTTAACGTGACAGATTTTAAAATTTCTTTTTGGGTTGTTCTCTGAAGAAAAAGTACTTAAAAAACACAAGTTTTATTTCGGTGTTCCGTCATTTTAAGAGATACTAGTGAGACACATAATTTAAAATAAACTAGGTAAATGTGGCTTTCACTTTTTTCCAATTTTTATAGTATTAAAAAATAAAGGGATCGAATATAGAACTCATGGTCTCACAGTATATAGGGTGTTTAGTGAGCAGACTTTTATTCTTCAAAAGATTATCTTACGTGTCAAACTGAACTAAAAAGTCTCTAATTGTCCAAAATCAATTGTATTCGAGATATTTACACTTTCAGGTTACTTCAACCTTTCACAACTTTTTTCCATCAAGTCCCCCGTATCTCTTGGAATGTTCACCCTTGGGTAAATTAGATTTCACTATGGAAAGAGCACTAAAATCCCCATGAGATTTTTTTTACTGTAACCTTAAGCAAAGAATAAAAAATTCACTAATAAGATAAAATTTTACTTACTTCCAAAGTTTTGCGTAAAGTTTAAGTAAGACTATCTTGGTTGTGTAAGTACTGGCAGATATTGAGCGAACATAAAAGTTGCTCCTTCTAATGAATACTAAATACATGCACTTAATTATCACCAAACGGTTTTAAAAATATCATTCATCGTTAGTTTTGACAATTTGTTAAAAAAAAAAATGAGAGTAGTACAAAATAAACATACAAGACTGTAGGTACAAAATTGAAGTAACTACAAAGCTTAAAAAAATAAATTTAATGTTCAAAATCTGTCAGAAAACGATGTGAGGCTGCATTCTCGAGAAGGTAAAAATTTTGAAAATTTAATTTAATTTTGAAAAGTTTTGTTGTATTATTATGTCCAATTCACTAGTTTCCGTGGTCCGCTTGACCAATTTTAATATCTTTCAATTAATTAAGGTTTTGAGTTGAGATAAAAAGTCAGTGTCACGAGTGGGATTCGAACCCACGACCTTCGGCTAGATACGCCGCTTCTCTACCACTTGAGCTATCGTGACTTCGATCTACTCGGACACTAACTTCCCATCTCATATATTATACATGTACAGTTGTAGATACAAATAAATGAAGTAAAAAAAAAAAAAAAGTAATTAGTGTAACTATGTCGGGTTCGAATGCAGGGCGCTGGATTCGAATCCAGGACCTTTACCTCACAGTGATGAGCGCCTTGTCAAAGCTAAACCGTTGCGGCCACCGACGCTCCCAATTACTTAAACTTAAAACAGGAACTTTGCAAACTCGTAAAAATTTATAATTTATGCAAGGAAATTTTGCATTTTGTTTGCTTCAGGTGACAAAAAAATTAATAGCAATTTTCAATGCTCTTGCTATTAGTGAAAACAAATTTACAGTAGAATTAACAATTTACGAGATCTGCTGAAGTTTAGGAACAATAGGGACTTTTTAGTACAGTATTACATGTAGGATAACCTCATAAAATATTAACGTTTGTTCACGGATGTCTCTTTTCATACGGACCAAACACTTTTATTACATTTAATCACATATGTTATAAAAAAATTTAAACTGTAACCTTTTATTTTTTGTAAAATATCTACTTTTTTCTGTACTTTTTTCTATGGCAGCGTACAGGATCGCGCTCAAAGAACCTAATGTTTTTTGTTGCATATTCTTAAAGGACAGTTTTTTTAATGAAAAATGGATTTTATCCTCTCCGTTTTGCAGCCAAGATTTGGTTGTGGGTTAATAGGATATACGGTGTTCATAGGAACAGGCATTTATGATCAAAAAGTTTAAATAGCGAACAGTTCATTATAAGTGATATCCGCCATCCATTTTTTTAAGATTTTACATTGATACATTTGTGTATAGCTCGATGGATTTCCTGCTAACAACGCCAAGGTAGTCAAGTATTTCCCCGAGGCCCTGTTCTTGGCCAGCACGTTCACCCAAATTAATCTCATTCCATTTTTTTTTTCTTTGGGGATATCATAAAAATCAAGTTTATGGAAATTTACATCCCCTAAATAGTCTACTGGAATTACGAGAAATCCTTACCGGAAGGATGGAAAACATGAGCGGGGTGGCTAAAAAGCGGAAGGTAGTTTGAAACTTTCATTACATTTAATTTTTATTTCTAGTTTATAGACTTTTCGTTTTTATCTTTAATAGTTGTAGTTTCGTCTTGTACTTTTCTGAAATTTTGTACTATGTTGGTTGTGTTTATTATGTAAATTTTCGAAGTTTCTTTTCTTAATTCCGCCAAAGCCAGTCCCACGTCTGGTTGAAAGAAAAGAAGGATTAGAGTAAAAAATAGAACTTATGTGCTAATTTTTTTAAATTGTATCTTGCAAAATCCTTGACCTATATTGGCCAAAAAAATGCATACACAACATACAAAAGTAAAAACGATGTGGTTTAAGAGTGTGCATCAGAAAAGCATAGGGTTGAATTAAAAAAAAAGTTAATTTGTGATACCCAGTATATTGCGGTAGAAAAAAAGTTTAAAAAAAATAAAAATAGATAAACAAAATGCATATACAACATACAAAAGTAAAAACGATCTGCTTTAAGAGCGTGAAGGAAAAAAACATAGGGTTGAATTAAAAAAAAAATTAATTTGTGATACCCAGTATATTGCGGTAGAAAAAAAGTTTTTTTAAAAATACAGATAGATAAACAAAATGCATATACAACATACAAAAGTAAAAACGATGTGCTTTAAGAGCGTGAAGAAAAAAAACATAGGGTTGAATTAAAAAAAAAATTAATTTGTAATACCCAGTATATTGCGGTAGAAAAAAAAGGTTTTTTAAAAATAAAAATAGATAAACAAAATGCATATACAACATACAAAAGTAAAAACGATGTGCATTAAGAATATGCAGCAAAAAATATAGGGTGGAATTAAAAAAAATAAAGTTAATTTGTGATACCCAGTATATTACGGTAGAAAAAAGAAATTTTTAAAATAAAAATAAATAAGCAAAATGCATATACAACATACAAAAGTAAAAACGATGTGCATTAAGAATATGCAACAAAAAAATATAGGGTTGAATTTTATTTAAAAAAAGTAAAGTTAATTTGTGATACCCAGTATATTGCGGTAGAAAAAAGAAATTTTTAAAATAAAAATAAATAAACAAAATTCATATACAACATACAAAAGTAAAAACAATGCGCTTTAAGAGTGTGCAGAAAAAAAAACAGGGTTGAATTAAAAAAAAAAAAAGTTAATTTGTGATATCCTGTATATCTGTGGTAGAAACAAAAAATTTTCTTAAAATAAAAATAGATTTACAAAACATAAAGGATGGTTACAATTAATTTTGTTTATAGCTTGCTTTGTTTACAATAAATGTGGCTGGTCGGTATGAAAAGGGACAGCCAGCATATCTTCTTTATCGTTGTTCATTGATAATTAATTGATAATTGTTGATATTCAGAAAATATAAATATACATATTTTTTTAATTCGCTAGATCCAATAAGAATGTAGTCTAACAATGAGTTGATTTCTTACCAGTCCAGGGGCCGTATTTCGACTTCAAGTCAGCTCTCGGTGCGATCCGGCTCCACAAATAAGCCCTAAAACCGAACCAGAACTTGAACAGAAAGGAGACTGTACACTTCAAAAGGTAGAGGCCGCCGAGGATCGTAAGGAATTTCCCTATGTACTCATCGCAGAACATTTTCGAACGGGAGCCGGCGGCGTAATGACAATGAACCGCTCTGTTGTTACTCAACAAACGCCCCACCAGATTAAGATGGATTTAGTCACCCCCCACTACAACCTTTGAAGATTAGGGCCTCTTCGTTCTTGACTAGATTAAAAATTAATAAATACACTGCTAGGCAAAAAATTCGACCCAATTGATTTTTTGCATTTTCTCAATGAAAGAAAATTTTTCCCTTAATCTGTCTTATTGTTTTTACCGATAAATATTTGTTTATGCTATTTTTTAAATTGGGAGGTAAATACACTTAATCCTTAATCCAAAACAAGCATAAAGGCTTGTTCAATATTTACTTTTTACTGATTTGAAAATTCGCTAGTTTTCGTGGTCCGCTTAACTAATTAATATCTTTCAATTAATTAAGGTTTTTAGTTGAGATAAAAAAGTTAGCGTTACGAGCGGGATTCGAACCCACGATCTTCGGCTAGATACGCCGCTACTCTACCACTTGAGCTATCGTGACTTCGATCCACTCGGGCACTAACTTCCCTTGTCAACCCCACCTTTTGAACTTTCCCTCCTTTTTGCCATTTTTCAAATGTGTAATCGGTTTGAATTCTCGGCGACGAATGAAATGGCGACAGAGAGCTTTAGTGAAGGTATACTTCATTTTAACTTATTAAATTCACTAGTTTTCGTGGTCCGCTTGACCAATTAATATCTTTCAATTAATTATTGTTTTTAGTTGAGATAGAAAATGCAGAGTCACGAGCGGGATTCGAACCCACGATCTTCGGCTAGATACGCCGCTGCTCTACCACTTGAGTTCGAATCCCGCTCGTGACACTGAATTTTTTATCTCAACTAAAAATCTTAATTAATTGAAATCAAACAGATTACATTAGATTTGAAAAAAAGATATGAATTGAAAATATTTATTTAATTCTCATTTGAATTCTGAGACAATAGACTGTTTATTTTTCCTCTTTGTTAGAAAAAAAAGGATGAAATAAACAAAAACACCTCAATCGTATTATTTTATATCTTCCGTTTTAATTTATTTATAGAGACAATAATTTTGTTATTACGTATGGTTTTTAAAGCGCTACACTCTTGCAAATTTTCCGGTAGATTGGTGAGAGTCGTTTCAAATTGACTATTGTTTGATTTTCGAACAAAAATCTTAGTTGAAACATTTTATCGCAAACAATTATTTTTAGTTTTTCACAAAAATTTGTATTCAGAGGTTTTTCGAAGCGAAAAAAACGAATATTAACTTTGTTTTTTGTTTTTACATCTAGTCATGGCGTTGATCTTGAAATACATAATTTCTAACCGAGCGACGTAACAAAGTAGTCTAAAATATATTTGTGTATGAAAAGACAAAGTTCAAGCACCTAAGGCTTGATTGATTCGTTTTCCCTCGATTCGGATCATTGGGTAATGATTTTATTTGACATTTCATCATCAATGTGTGGCATTAACCAGAGGGTATTCTTAAATTTAAAATAAACTTCCCTACATAGTTGTACGAGTATCTTGGAGGAGGCTAACAAAAAAAATATTGCCGTCAAGCTTTCGGCCTGTTTAATGCCTCCATTAGGATTACAGACTATCACTTTAATTAAAACAATTTTAGAACGCATTTAACATTAAAAAAATTTTAAAGTCATTGTAAACCTCGGAGATAACGTAAAACTGAATCTGCTGTTTGGCCGAAAGCTTGACGACTATTTTTAAGTTCTTTTTTTGGCCTCCTCCCCGATACTCGTACAACATATGTGATATCAGAAAGCCGATAGAAACAGATCAAAAGATCAGATCCTTGCTGACATTCATTTCATAGTTTTTCAATTTGTCTTTTCTCCAAACTTGTGATAAACTGGAATATATTCCTATGTCGACCTTTCGTGTTGAGTTCGTCAAGTTCAAAATTTACTCTACCGAGTCGCACCTCGGATATTGAAAAAAAATCTTCTTTGACATTTTTTATCGTTGGTTTTTGACGTTTCATTTTTTTCTGAATGATATAAAGTTTGTTTTAAATACGCATTTTTGTTGGCTTATACGCTGAAGTTACCAAATTTTCAATGATTGTAGCACTTTTATCAGTCAGTGCAGATGTTTGAGGATTCATCTAAATTCAGATTGTCAAAGAATCTTGATTCTAAATTCCCACCAACTACCTGACACATTTCTATAAAAATAGTCGTATAAATTACAACTGAATATTTTCAAAAAAATACGATTAACCGTATGATATGTTTCGTTAAACATAAATAAAAATTTAATACAGTAGTTTTCTTAGAATTGCCTAGAAAGTGACACAAGATCGAAATACTTAAAATTCAATGGTATGAAAATTTCACGATGTACAATTTGTAAATGATGGCTAATTACGAAGGAAAGAAATATGAAATGAGGTACAAATGAAATCGTAAAGATTGTCATTACTGAATCTAGTAGTTATTCAAAAAAAAGAAAATGGACTTTGAGGGATTCATTTCAGAAATGTGCTTACAGATAGTCTGCAAAACTTAAAAACACTGTAGCAGCCGAATGTGAGAACACTCTTTGCAAGAAAAGAAACATCTGGGAAAATCAAATTTCTTCACAATGACTGCCACATGTTTTGGCGCATGACAAAAATCATAAAACACCCTCATGTATCAAGATTAGCAAGCACTTATTATACAAATTCACCACAGTCCCAAATTTTAAGTGAAAAAGCATCGCGATGAATTTCTGGCCGGCTAAATCCATCGTCCGCCTAGGTGAATTATCCAAATTATCGAAACAGGCAAAGAAACGAATCCTCGAGATTTTATCCGTGTCCAAAACGGAGCCGACGGTCGAGGAGGCCGCGTCCCAATTGCCCGAAATAGAAAGCACGACCAAGATCGAGACTAGAGGTTTGTCCATGCCGATAATCGGTATAGGGACATGGCAGGTAAGTCTACACGATTTTCCATTCTTCTTCTCAATTTCAGTTATTTTATCAAATTTAGATAGAACCGATATACATAGAGTCATGCTTGTCTTACGCCTTGGATGCCGGATATCGGCACATAGACACCGCCTATTCCTATGGGAACGAAGCCGCTATCGGGCATGCGTTAAATAACATGTTTAAAGCCGATGCATTGAACAGAGAAGAACTGTTCATAACATCAAAAGTAAGCCTGTCGTACTAATATTGACGTGTTAAAACAAAAGAGTTTTTTTAGCTTCCGTTCTACGGTATGTCTCCCGAAGGAGTGAGGCATTTTGTCGGGCAAACTCTGAAGAACTTGAAGGCCGGTTATTTGGATCTGTACCTTATCCACTATCCAGTTGGAGTACGGTACAAAGACGGACAGTTCACCGTCGATCCTGAAACAGACCACGTTAAAATTTGGAGGGTACGATAATTATAAAAAACCTCCGGATCAAAATTAATACACCAAAACCTGCTCGTTTCAGGCTCTAGAAGATGAGGTGTGCAAAGGGAGAATTAAAAATCTCGGCGTTTCCAATTTCAATATACCCCAGGTGAAGAAGATCTTGAAGTTTGCCAAGATAGCACCAGCAAATATTCAAGTAGAACTGCATTTATACCACCAGCAAAAGGAGATGCTGTCGTTTTGTGCGGACAACGCGATCGCACTGACAGCCTATGCTCCCCTGGGATCTCCTGGGCTAGATCAATTTCTGGTGTCCCATGACCTCAATTTCTCAGAGTACGCATTTATCATATAAGTTTTTAAAACTATTTAACGATTTTTGTATATATCGGATTTTCCACACGATGGATTATCGCTGTGTTTTTTTAATAGGTGAAACCCATTATTTCTAACTACTCGGTTTTCCCTAAGATCCACTCTTAGGTCATCACATTTGACAAGGTCCTCTAATTATTCCGATTTGGGCCTTCATTTAGTAAGGGCTTCATAGTTAACGTTGACTTCTTCTGCACTGATGACAGTGTTCTGACAACAGTATAATGATAATCATGGTTTAGATAAAGAATTCTTTACCATTCCTTTAGAATGTCAGATAGTTGATGGACGCCTGTTGTTCAGTATAGTAATGTACAAGTAAAGTAATTCCTTCCTTACATGAGACGTCCAATGTCAGGTGTCGTGGGCGAGGGGTCAAAATAAATTTACATTTAGGCAAATCGTTCCCAAATAAAATTCCAAGGACTATACCAGGATTCGAACCCAGAACCGCAAGCATGGCAAAGACAAGTAGACGTCCTAAGAACTCGACCACCTGACATTAAAATCTGGTCAATTACTTATCTACTGATACCAATTTGCTATGCCAGTCTTATAATTTTTGTAGTAGCTCTTTGGAAACAATGTTGGTTTTTTTATTGCAATGGATTCATTTATGCTCTGATAATCATATTCCAACGATTAAAAGACTGCTTTTTTGCGTACAAATCAACGCTTATATTTTCGGTTGTCACGAGTATATTTTCAAAATTCCTTGATATTAGACATTTATTCTGCACTTTTTACGTTTATAAAATTTGTGTTAGAGGTAAAACTCCACACGACTGCTGCGTACATTAATACAAATCTGACCAATACTTGATAACATAATAATTTACTGTTAACATTAAGCACTGAGTTCAGTGAGCAGGGAAAATAACTACCTGTACTATCAAATTTTAAACCTTTATATTCGTTAACAACTTTAGTATTTAGTATGCTGGGTGAAGGTAAGTCTTCTGTCCAATTGTATCCATAAGTATTTTACTGTATGAAACCATTCAGTGTGGTTCACCTTGTGGTGAATAAAAAGGCTTGAGTATTGTCACCGTTAATCATTATTTTTCATTCAAGAAATTAGAAGTTTTTGTAGGCCTGAGTCAGTCGGTGTTTATTTTCTCTCATGATGAAAAATACAAACCAGACATAAAAAAATAAGTATAAGCGAACAGGGAACCTTTTAGTTTAGTGTTTCTTCTCGTCACATTCTATCGTCCTTTTTTTTTCATTAAAATACACAGAAAAATCAACTGATAAACGGTACAGTGTAAATGTATGGTATGGTAGAAAAGGATACTAGGAAGCGGGGTTCGCATTCCCCAGGCACTGCAGCCTTCTGGCTTATTGTACCTTCCCAGTTCCTTAGTTCAGTGCAATAGACTCAATCCTTCTTCTTAGAAGTATCAGGTCATTGATTGCCGCTGCTGCAATTTGATTCCCTAAGTTCTTTCCATACGGTTAGGTTAAACCTCCATTGAGCTGTTGCTTCGCATTCGAAGATGATATGAGTGGCTGTTTCCTCCTCATCATTACATAATCTGCAAATGGGATCATCGCTGTATATACCCATGCTGTGTAGATGTTTTCTCAGATGCCAGTGACCGGTTAATAGTACTACCACTCCTCTGAGTATGGCCCTCTACAATTGCAGCAGTGCTTTTGCCAGTCTCGGTGAGGGTTGTTTCATCATAAGTTTACTATGTCTAGCACCGCTAGAGTTTATCCACTTCTCCTTTTGTTTTGTTTGGATCCATTCTGCAATGGAGGATTCTATATTTGTTTTTGTTATCCCAAGTATAGGTTCAGAGCCTATGTATGGTCTTGCAGATCCTCCTCTGGCCAGACTGTCTGCTTTCTCGTTACCCAAAATTCCCCTGTGCCCTGGCACCTCAGATAGCATCAGATTGTTGTGTTTTCCCAGGTTTTGGAGATTTGGGATGCATTCACTGACTAATTTTGATGTGATCCTTTTACAAGCTAATGCTTTAATGGCTGTTTGACTATCTGATCTTATGACGATTTTTTGTCCGTGTAACCTCTTTTAAGATTTTCCAGGGCACGAGCATTGATGGCATGTATTTCTGCTTGAAAGACCGAAGTGTATTTCCCTGATGAGTTTGCTCATGTTTTGAGCTTGTACAGAAAACGCCTGATCCGGTTCCTTCGTTTGTTTTGGAGCCATCTGTATACGATTGTATCTGATGCTCTCCTGTGTTCTTCCTCTCCTTTATAGTCCATTGAGACTTTATAGGAAGTTGTGAAGATTGTTTCCGGGATCATATCATCAGTCCCCATTTCTAATAATGGGTGTCTGATTTTGTTGATTATGGTTTTATGCCCGAATTGTTTAGTTCCTTTCCAATTTAATTGTTTCTGGAGCCTAAGTGAGCTTTTCCTAGCCTCTCCTTGTTTGAATATTTCAATGGAGGTAAGTTTAGCAAATTTTTTAATGCATTTGTAGTTTAATGTACATAAAGGTATTCATTCTGTGATGAATCATTGATTTGCAATATTTACCGAACCAATCAACCTGATCTTTCGATCATTAATTTAAATAGCAGAATGGCCATCTCTTCAATTTCTATCGCTCTATAACTGTTAGCTCTAATTCAGATTGAAACTTAATTTTAGGGTAAGTTGGCTCTGGTTCATTTCACAGCTTGTTTTGTCTTTCTGTGACCAAGTCATATTTGTCACGTATCACTGCTGGTTTCGATTCTTATATTGCCTTTGAAAAATTCTTTGACAATTAACGTACTGTTTGTTAAAACTTTGTAAGTCTGACACAGCAAGACCCGTCGGGCAGTTAATTATACGTTTGACAAAAAATTTGTTCTAGTTCATTTTTCAGACAAAAAAAAATCTTCTCCAACCACATGTACAATAAATCTCCTTTCTCACTACTTTTTTTAATGTCACAACTTGCAACACAATAGATAATAATTAATAATAATTATACAGAAAAATTAAGTTTTTGACAGATCGAACTAGAAAAATCTGACATTCAATTCTTACCTTATAGATTTTAAGCTAAAAGTATTNTATATAAAACATTGTAAAACAAAAAGAGTTATTTTTATTGATAATTTTTGCTATTTTAATTGCAGAAGTTTGATTTTTTAACAAATAACAAATGAGAGAAAAAAATGTGATATTAAATATTTACAGCGTTCCGATGCCTCTCAAAAACCCCACAGTCGTCAAAATAGCCAGGAAGCACAAGAAGACTCCTGCTCACGTACTACTGAGATTCCTTATCCAAAACGGAATTTGCGTCATACCGAAGAGCCGCAACCCCGACAGGATCGTCCGAAACTTCAACGTGAGTCTAACTTAAATCCCCGATTTCATTTTTTTTTTTACTTTTTATTTTTCATTTTTATTTCAGGTATTCGATTTCAGCCTAGACGCGGAAGATGTCACTGCTCTTTCGAACCTGGATATGAACGAACAGGGCCAGATGTTCCTCCACGTCTGGGACGGAACGGAGGACCACCCGGAATATCCATTCGCGCCTCCGAATTCCGACAAACGAAACTAATCGATTTTTGTTTGTCTTTTGTGCTCAATTTTCTTTCCATGTCCAGAATTAAAGTCACAAATAAATTACTTGACGTCCTAACCGAATAACAAATTTGATGTTGAATTAGCGTAGCAGGTAATACTTAATACATTTCTTTTAAAAGTTGTATAAGAAGGAAATACTTCGAATCTAAGTTTTGGTTGCAAGGGAGAATTATATAGTAACAATAGATTTTAATAAAACTGCCTAAGTCTACCGTGAAAATTATAACAAAAAGCTATCTACGATTACTTTTCGATTTAAAAAAATAACCGATAACAGTTAAAATCCCGATAAACGGTTTGACATACAAACATAGTTAAAATATTTGTAATAACGAGATAAAAAAAATTTTTAATCATATCGCTGGATCTTTCAAAGCCACCGTATGAAGTCAATGTTAACATTTAAGTGTGTAAGTAACGATATTCGTGTCGAATTTCGTCATCTCCGCTTTCATGTAGTGCTGATTCAACTGTAGACTTCCTCAGATTATTCCCTTAGGTTACAATTCATAAAAAAATATGATAAACTTTTCGTTGCAGGGTACACTAAGTAACATCTTGTCTCCCACTCGTTTAGGCTTCTCGCCATCTTCAGTTGTTTGTTGTCTGTGATTACAACAAATTTATATTAAAAAAACAGGAGATATGTCACAACCAGTATAGCTGTCTCTTCCTTAAACCTATTTCTATTCTTTTTTTTTTTCTTCACATATTATTTTCATCACAGTTTAACATCTAGAGTCATTCCCAGTTGTATGCTGTATGGCTTCAATGAAAATAGAATACGGTTCAATTTTTTTTTTTTTGTGAAATTTATATGCCCAAATTTGAGTACTGAAATGATGAAGGTCGAGTGAATATATCTTCACTTTTTTAAAAGACAGTTTTTACATGGACGAATGTCTCGACCACATTGGATAAATAAAATAATTAAAATCCACTCTAATTTCAAATTTTTCGGTATTAACAATTTTTTAGAATTGATAATTAGTTAAAGAACATAAATATACGTAATAACTGTTTAAGTGTCATTTGATGTCAGTAACTTATTTACAAATATCCCTGTTAAAGAAAATACTAAAGTAAATCCATCATATTTAGTAGCCTGATTGACCAAATTACTTCTTTCAATTAATTAACCTTTTATGTAAGGTTTTGGTTGAAATGAAAAAGTCGTTGAAGATCGTGGGTTCGAATCCCCCTCGTTACACTGACTTTTTTCATTTCAATTTGATGTCAGTAACTTATTTACAAATATCCCTGTTAAAGAATATACTAAACTAAATCCATCATATTTAGTAGCCTGATTGACCAAATTACTTCTTTCAATTAATTAACCTTTTATGTAAGGTTTTGGTTGAAATGAAAAAGTCGTTGAAAGCTGAAGATCGTGGGTTCGAATCCCACTCGTTACACTGACTTTTTTCAGTTCAACCAAAACCTTACATAAAAAGGTTAATTAAATGAAAGAAATACTAAATTAATAAAACAGAATCTTGTGGAAAACTCTATTAACGAATTTGTAAAAAATTATATAACAGACCTCTTAAATAAGTGCCTACACTATATAATTATGCAATTATGCCAATAAAAATTAATTAATTCTGTTCTTTTTTGAAAACGCTATGTAAACGATATTTTATGGTCGGGTACACTAGACGATCTACAAAATTCCTCCAATTAATTAATTCTTTACTCCCTAACATAAATTTTACATTGACAATAAATAAACATGGTTTTTTAAAACAGTCTGTGATAAACAACCCAATTGAATTAGACGTACATACAAAACCCAAAATTACAGACACCATAATACCAGCAGATTCTTCTCACCTCAAAGGTGATGGATTTATTTGGCTCATATACCGAATGTTGAAACTCCCATTAACCCCTGGTAATTATAAAATAGAATTACGAACCATTAAAACCTTGGCTAAAAACAATCGACATCAAGAAATATTTATTGATAGATTGCTAATAAAAATAATAAAAAAATTAACTTTAAAAGAAGCAACGATCGGGCTCAGCCACCACACCAAAAATGAATCATTAAATTTTCGTCGCTTGCCGTAAATTGGGGAACTATCAGAAAAAGTAGGTAAAATCGTTAAACGAGAAGGTTTTAGAGTAGCATTTAGAGGTGCGTGTTTACATAGATATTTCCTCTTAAAACCTACGACAAGGTTGACAACTTGTCAAAAAGCAGGGTTTACGAACTTAACTGAAATGATTACGATATTAAATATAAAGGACAAAACGACAGAGAAATTAAAACGAGAGTTAAAGAATACTTGCCTAAATAGAACAAATTTTCTCAATTTAAGAACCAACTAAATGAAACAAACCACTATTTCAATCTAAATTTAAAAACAACAGTGTTACCCAGGCTCAACAAAAGCAGGGAACTAGACTGGTTTGAGAAATTTGGAATTTAAAAAAAATAAAATTACACATGGAGATAAATGCATAAATAATATAATAGATTTTGATTTACCTCATATTTCAAAACATGTACCTAAATAATATTTGATACACAAATTAACCAATAAATTAAACTCATTTTCTTACAGTATTTATTAGTATAATAGTTGTGTTGTAATTCACGTTTTTCGCACGTTCAAAATTGAGCGACATTAAAACTTTTGATTTTAAAAGCTGATTGGAACGTCGCGTTGGCGGTGGATCGACGGATTCACACTTAAGGTCGATTCACACACGTCAGTGACGTGACAGTGTCGTGATAGCCCTTATTCCCGGCCACTGTGATCAAACAGGGCATTCTATTTACACTGGTCAGTGTTTCATTCGTGCCTTGCAGTGGACTTGAGTGGCCGAAATGGCAATGTTTCCAGATGATGAACTTTTGATCGCACTGATTTTGGATAAAGAAGAGAAACCCGAAAAAAGGAGGAAGTGGATCGATCAAGCTTGGATCAAGAGTGGAACAGAAGGATAATTTGCTAAGAATAAACCCGCCGGTGAAACAAAATGCCGGTCACGACACTGTCACGTCACTGATGTGTGGAAATCGACCGTTACAATTGATGTGAAGAGACGTAACTACTTCAACCTGATTATGAGCGTTTAATGCTCGAAAATAGGATTGTTGAAAACAACAAACTGTGAGTAAGAACCATCTTTAAAAAAAAAAAAAAAAAGTTGCAAGCCTTTTCAAGGATTTTGGTCCTATTGATGTTACTGCTGTCTCAAATACAAACGTTGCGCGTACGAAAAATATCTGTCGAAAATACATTAGACCAAATCAATGTTGAAAACGCATCGGCCCTTCTCGTTCGGCTCCAGCTAATTCAGGACTTTTAGGGTGACAAACTTTCCTTTAGAGTTTAGAACATCATATTTGCTGACCTACTCGTATATTTATCAGCAGACGTTCTTCACGCAATCTTCAGGAGGTGGTGCAACAACGAACCACTATGGGTCATAATCTACTTTAAACATGATCACCCCAACATAATGAGGTTAATATGTTAGCAAAAACCAACGGCCGGCATTGTGCAATAGTATTGAATGACATCTTGATCCTAATTTATCACGCCATAAGCGCCACAGCCCATAAGCGTCGATGTTTTCGCTTGAGCAAGACCTAGTGTTGCTAGATAACACCTTCGAACGCTAGACATAGAAAGTTACACGAAAATACCATATGATAAAAAAACCATATGAAAAAAATATGGTGCCATAACAGTTAAACTTGCTCAAACTTTTGTTCCATCATTAAGCGAACTTCAATACTAACCCTAAAGGTCCAAAAATATTGCGCAATTCGGAATATTGTACAATATAATTGATCGTCCAGAGTTCGCTTAAGGTTTAGAAAATATTGACGCATCAAAACATTCGTCGTTAGCTTATTTGATCAAGGTATCTTTCCTAACATATTTATGTTGTTCCAAACATGTTTATGTTTGTTCGCCAATTTATAATGGTCGTTTTTCCATCTATTCAGTATTTACTGGCGTTCAGTAGTTCTTTAATTGGCTGTTTCAATAATTAACTGCAATTTTGATCACAGTTATAGCGCATTAATGGACAGATAATTTCCATGTTTTATATTTATTTTATAGCCTGCTTTTCGTTGTTAATAAAAGTTACAATGTACAGAGAATCGATATCCGTCGGTAACGATAAGACTTAATGGAAAATACTTATTACACCACATAAACGACCTATCTTTTATAACAAATATAGCAATTTATTGATATATTTTCCCATTAATTTTAAATAAATTCATAAGAAAAAGCAGTTTCTTACGTCAAAAATAAAATATACCATTGGACAAATAGTATAGAAACAAACCGTTTATTGATGCGATAATTGTCCACTTTTTTAACTTCTTTGATGTACAAATGTCCACAATATGTAACATTCTGTGTAATTATTATCTAAGCAATGACGCATTTGTTTATCAACTCCAAAATTCAGGTGCTGAGTCTGTACAACCCGCGCGACTGTTAGGTCCTGCTGTGACTATATAACCACAACGACCGTCCCGCGTTTTTAGCTCAATTGAAGGAATGTTTAAATATTAATTTAAATTCTTATGTCAACACAGCATATTATTATGTTCTGCAATGTGTGAATATCCATTACAAAACATTACATTGTACATGTATTAATGTTTAGAAAACGTGTTATACTATGTTAAAACGCCGTAACTAAAACAAATGTAATTTGTATATTTATCCCGTTTTTTCTTAAAGTTGTTGTTCTTGTAACTTTTGCCAGGTTTTTTAAAAAGATGGAACGAATCTTCGTTAATAAGTAATTAAAAAATTAAGAATTAATAACTAATTAAATCAATTAAAACTTATCAAAAAAGCTGGTTGTTTTGTTCTACATTTAAAAAAACTGACCACAGATAAACCAAACCTACGTTCATGAAACCAAGCCATTGTTTTCATAAAAATCAACATACTTTTACAAATCAGCCAATAAAATAATACCCTGCTGTTTCATTAAAAATGCCTGAGTTTTACCTGATATATATGATTTGAAGTGTAAATTAAATATTCATTAAAAATATACAATCCGTTTGAAATTTTATTAAATATTAAGTATTAAATTTATGAGAGGATTGCAGTTTTCTCCCCTGGGCCGGAGAACGTGGTCTATATCAAGCCTAAGTCGGGCCATGATGGGACTTAGAAAATTTTCGACTCGTCGTCAAGATACGAGTCTCACGAGCCAGTGGGACCTCCCTCGGCCTATTCTGTGCCAGAGAACATGGTCTATATCAAGCCTAAGTTGGGCCATGATGGGACTTAAGCTTTTTTTTGTACAGCAATTATTGAGAGATCGTGAGATGCGGTCTGGTGTGATGTAGGTTTCAGGAAAACATTTTCTTTATCGTGCCTACGTTTCGATCTTTATTGAGATCATCTTCAGGGCTCAAAGAGTTTGTTTTCTGTGTAATTGTGCCATTCTCGCGTGCCGAGTTGAGAGTGCCCATAAGACATTAACACAAAAATTACACCAATTAAAACTCAGTGCTGCCAACATAATACCTACACATTTTAAAACAATTTTACACACATCAAAAAGATGCATACTGTCCACTTAAATGTTTTTCTGAAACCTACATCACACCAGACCGCATCTCACGATCTCTTAATAATTATCGATTAACGGTCACTAATCACAACACAAAATTATTCAACATTTTTGTTTTTCTGAATTTTTCGTGCCGAATTTTTTCAACAATTCTGCAATATAAATAGGTTTCCTTAAATCAAATTTGACGTTCTTTCAGGTGGCACAAAACAGATTTTTCTACAATCAAGATCTACAGTCTGAAGTTTATAAGCAATTTAGTGGGCCTAAATCGAAAAATCTTTTTAAAAAACCTGAAATTACTTCTTTACCGTTCAGATTGCAACAGGGGTTCATAGGAAGTTTTTTGTTGCATATAGTGAGTAGAAACACCACCTGAAATTTTCGACACTTATCGCCAGTCACCATGTATACAAGCAAGGAATAAGACCGTCTGCGGGAGAATGTAAATTCAATAAGTCAAAAATGGTTTACATAAAAATACATATAATTTGAAATAAACATTTTTTTAATCTTTGAGTGTATTTTTATATACAATACCACCTACACACAAATGTTCAAATCTATACACAGTACTTATTTTTCTTGTTTTTAGTTATAAATAATACATTCTCTTAGACATAAATTCCATAATCCTTGACGTTCCAAACAATAAACATTTCTTAGTATTCTCGTAGAAATAAATTTAATGGATTAGTGCACCGACGAGGGGGACATTTCCTTTCTTTCCCCACTCGTCCAACAAAGGCAAGCTGACGTCAAAATGAAGAAAATATCCTTTCATTCCACGTCATCGTTGAAATAAACAAATATCGTACTTTTGTCTCATGGAATCCTGGGCTGCATGTCGGATTGTATACGACATTGAACTCGGCCAGTAATGTAAAAAAAAGGAAATAAAAATTCGAAGGAATGAAAAATAGAGTAATTAAACGAGAGAGATTTTTTGGTTTAACGCAAGATTTCGTGGCCCTTTTATTTATTAAAAAAAGTTATTAAACAAAAGAGATTTGGGGGCACCAGGATACAATCACAGTTGGACGCGTGTGCTGGAATTTTTAGCATGCCCGCCCTTTGCAGGCTCCCTGGGAGGAGGCGACTCTCCGAATTAACCTATTTACGTGTTCACGGCCTTTCCCCCGTCGGACGGCGATTGTGTCGTCGGCCGAATCCGCCCAAGTCCCGTTTTCATTCCCACTCGAATAAATAATTTAAAGAGAAAAAAATCGTTTTACCGTCTTTATTTTAAAACCGCGTTTGTTTTATTAAACGAGTCGAGCTTTTAACTCAGTGGCCGGGTTGTTTTTTTAATACGGGGAGATTCGTGATCCGCCATCATTGTACTTTCCCCTCGGACAGTGAAGAACCCGTCCCCTTGTTTTAAACAACAACAAAAAACGGTTTTTCCACTGTGAAATCCGCGTTTTCCTTCGTATAATATTCCAAGAGAAATCCGGATCCGCCCGTTCTGTTAAAAAATGTAAAAATCCACCTGTGAAACCTTCGCTCGGACGAGGTTTTCTCGGTCGGTGACAGTTCGAAAGGCAGCTTCGTTTTCCTCTATGAAAACGTCTTCGGACCGTTTGATCCTTCCAGGGTGTCCCTTTGTATTTAAAAACGATCCGAAATGAGCCCTAAGGGTGTGAAGGCGGCCGCGAAAAGGGCCCCGTTGAAGCCCAAGTCGACGAGAGGGACGAACAACAACTTACTCAAAGGTAATCGGTTTCGATACGTTGGCCAGGTTGCGATATCCTTAAACGATTCTCTTTCCTCCAGATCCGTTGGAAACAGAATCGAAAAAAGAAGATTTGAAGGAAAACGAGATCGCAAAGGACAAATCGCCCGTGCAGATGACGAGGGCGAGAAAGCCGCGCGCTGCCAAAGGAGATCCACCGAAGAAACCAACACCCAAGAAAGGTAAGTCGTTTCCAACTAAGTTCCAGCTGTCCACAAAGCGAAAAATGGTAATCTCATTTTATTTATTTATTTTTTATAAATATGTTAATATAAATTTAAATTGTAGATAATGGTCATCGATAGAGTAGTTAATAGATCATGAATGGGCTATATTTTTCCTATCAAGCATAGTGCAAAACTAGTTGGTTAAGCTTAATTTTAGCAAATATATGGATGTATGTGGATTGTATTGGGTTAGTGTTAGAGCATTCATAAGGATACTAGGAAGCGGGTTTGTGCTCCCCAGGCACTGCAGCCTTTTGGCTTATTGTACCTTCCTAGTTCCTTACTTCAGTGCAATAGACTCAATCTTTCTTCTTACAATTATCAAGCATCGACTGTTGCTGGTACAATTTTCTTCCCTAGATTTTTTTCAGTATGTTATGTTAAATCTCCATTGAGCTGTTGCTTCGCATTCAAAGATTATACGGGTGGCTGTTTCCTCGTCATTGCATAATCTGCAGATGGGACCATCGTTGTATATGCCCATGTTGTGTAGATGTTTTCTCAGATGCCAGTGACCGGTTGGTAGTCCTACCACTCCTCTTAGTGTAGCCCTCTCCAATTGCAGCAGTGATTTTGCCATTCTTGGTGAGGGTTGTTTCATCATAAGTTTACTGTGTCTAGGAGTTTGTCAATTTCTTTTGTTTTGTTTGAATCCATTGTGCGATGGAGGATTCTATGTTTGTTTTTGTTATCTAAGTATTATAATACTTAGTTATACAAGTATAGGTTCGGGGCCCATGTATGATCTTGCAGATCCTCCTCCAGTCTTTCTGAAGTTTGGGTATACAACGCCTTAAGACCAATTCAATGTGCCCAGTGAAGCATGCAAAGATTTTAAGGAAGTACAAAGAGTGCCTCCAGATCCTAATCGCCATCCATGACTCGCCAGGTCTCTTCCTAAACTCCACACCAGTTAATATACGGGATGGATTTCATTCCGGATGTTGTTGCTGCCAACAAGATGTAATGTTTTGACTGACCTGACTGCAGGCACATTTAATTAGTTGTCAGACCTCAGTGGACATAAATATGGAGTATTAAGGGAGGCCCAGATGGAGCTAAATCACAAAAATATATTGAACGGGTCTAGTACTGGGGGCATGCCTGCATACCCTCTGCATACCTGAGCATACTAAGAAGACATTCAGGAAACTCAGCATCAAACAGCTCCCGAGAATGCTCTTCACTTATTCCCTAACAGCGCTTTTCATCCAACAAATTCGACTGTTGAGCAAAATACCTGAATGCGACAGGCCCTGGCTAGGATGACAGTACACGGAATGGATCTGTGGTGCTGGAGTTATATTTTTTCTTTCAAGCTTAGTTCAAAACTAGTTAGTTAAGTTTAATTTGAGCAAATATATGGATGTTTGTAGATTGCACTGGGTTGGTGTTAGAACATTCATCAGTCTCAGGAGTCTGGGTATATCAATGCTTGCCAATTGAGTGAGTGCAGGGGAGGCAACAATGACAGACTAGAACTTACCATTCAAATGTGGGGCTGGCGAGAGACACTTTGTCCTTTCCAAGTGCCCATAAAAATATATTCCCAGTGAATCACGCAAAGATTTTAAGAAAGTAAAATAAGTGCCTCCAAGTCCTAATCACCAGCCTCCATGACTCAGGATACCACGTCTCTTTCTAAACTCCCCACCAGTTACTGGACGAGATGTGTCTCATGCCAGATATTGTTGCCACCAACAAGGATGGAATATTGTGACCTAGAGTGTAGGCACGTTTAATTGGGTGGCAGACCTCAATGCACATAAATATGGAGTATTAAGGGAGGCCCTGATACAGCTAAACTACAAAAATTTCTTTAACAGATTTAGTAGTGAGTACAAGAGGATGCATACCTGAGCACACTAAGAAGGCGTTAAGGGGACTCGGGATCAATCAGTTTCCCGAGAATGTTCCTCACCTTTTCCTTAACAGCAATTTTTATCCAACAAATTCGTCTGTTAAGCAAAAGCCTGAATGTGACAGACCCTGGTTAGGATGATGACCAGCACCAAAGGATGCAAAAATAGGCTAATGTCTGAAAGAAGTTTGTAATTTAAGTTAAAATCAGGGGGGATTTGTCACGATATCAGTTGTGCATTCTAATTGCTAATGTAAAAATACAATATTCTACACTCACATGTTTTGTGATGTTACTCAAACACCTTTCGGCTTTGGACCCTCCTCAGTAAGGAGTTATCTGTTTCGTTGTAGGCCCTTATATACCATGGGGTCCAGTGGTTGTTCATCAGTGAAGAAGGCACAAAACCAAAATGCATTGAGCATTATCAAAAAAATGTGCGAGTGTAGATGGACCCAGTGCTAGATCAACATGTTCAACGTCAATAAGTTGGGTGCCTGAATTTTTGAGAGAAAAAAAGCCCATTTTTGTGTAAGTGCATCAGGTATGAATGCAGGGTCGCTGGATTTGAGCCCGGGACGTGAGTGAGTGCCGTGTCAACACCATTGTGGCCACCATCGCCCCTTTTTATGATGTTTATACCTAATAATCAAAATATTTATGAATGCACCAATTTAAATAAAATCTACCAATTTTTCTGGAGCTAAGCCTGTCTGTCTTAGTGTAACTTTGAAGGTAAAGGGATTTCGACAGAAAGTTTAATTGACTAAGGAGTAATTATCCAATTATAAATGTCAAATTTGCCTTCTTTTTCTTAATCTTATGTTGTTTGACCAAATCCGTCAAAAGCAAATATTCTTAGTTCAATAATTCAAATAATAATAACATCTGTTTTTCTATGATTTTATTTGCAAAAAAATAGTTACTACACCAGGGAGAATTTGGATTAAACAATCCAACAAAAAATTCTATCCCATTCCATAAATTTAAAAAATATTAAATGATTAAAATTCAGCAAAGTATTGTAAGTTTGTTGAGGTTGACCATGAGGTCATAATTCTTTGGAGTTTGATGGGCAGGAGTTGAATAGTCACTATTCCTATCTATTCCCAGAATTACAAAATATTGTAGAACAATGTAGATTAATAAATTTTGTTTTGGTCTGTGTTAATCATGTCTAAATGTCAGGCATGGTAAAGAGCTGAAAGTTTTATACTGAGTTGATGCAAAATAAATGCACGTTTTCCTTTTCGCTTCACTTTAATACCAATAGTGTAAACAAAACTAATCCATTATATTAAGGGATACACATCATTTTAAAGCCTATTTATCTCGCTTTCTTTCTCTTAGAATCCTTTAATTCAGTCTGTTCAGTACTTTCAATCAAAATGATATCTAAGAGTGATTTTCGGCAAATTTATTTCTATGAATTTAAAGTAGGGCTAAGTTTAGCGCAAACCGCTTGAAACATTAATGATGGGGCAAGGAACCATAAATGTGCAGCATTGGTTTCAAAAATTCAAAAATGGAGATTATGACCTCATGTGCAAAGGTGGTGGTGGCCGGCCTGCTGTTGACAATGACCAGTTAAGGGCTGTAGTTAAAGCTGACCCCACAAAAATCAAAGAAGCTCACCAAGTGGGTTCCGCATGAGCCGAACAACTGCCAAAAGGATCGCAGGTATGAAATCTGTTTAATGCTTTTCATATGCAACAAAAATGATCCATTTCTCAATCGTACAGTAATGTGTGACCAAAAATGGATATGATACAATAGACAGCATTTTAGACAGTGGCTGGATAAGAGTGAAAAACCAGAGCACTTCTCAAAGCCAAGCTTATATCCAAAAAACATTGTGGTCACTGTCTGGTGGTCAGGATTCATTCGTTACAGCTTCCTCAATCCAGATGAAACTATCACTGTTGAAAAGAACTCTAATGAAATTAATGAGACAAAATGAAAACTGCGACTTTTATAGTCAGTATTAATCAATTGGAAGGGTCCTATCCAACAATGCTTGCACATGTCGCACAACGGACTTGGCACAACTTCATGAATTTGGTTACGAGGCTTTACCACATCCACCACACTCAACAGATTATCACGTTTTTAAACATCTCAACAACTTATTGTGTGAGAAATGGTGAAGAAGCCAAATATATTTTATCGAAGTTAAATTGTAGCTTGATTTTACTGAACATCGTAAAACCTGCATTATTTTTGTAGCAACGCAATAGTTTGAGTTTGGCGGGGAATCAAACCAAATAAGAAAAAATGTTTTTTTACCTTATGCTGTAGCTTATTGTTCAAAATAATCGGATTTTGGATAATTATCAACAGAAAGTTTTTTTGTTTGTTTTTTTCATTTTTAAATCAAAAGATAGAAACTGAAATCATATGTCTTTTAACATGTGTAATTTAAAAAAAATCAAAATTATTTTGTGTATTGAAAGACGTTGAATTAAATAACCAATTGGTGATTCATCAGCTTTTGCGTCATTTTTTGATATAATGAAAAAAATAAACAACTTATGTCAAATTGGTTGTTCAAATAATTTTATAGCAGTATACAATATAATTACAATCCTCAATTCAGATGAAATGTCAGTTTGTTCTCAATAAAGTCCTTTAATTGGTAAAGTTTGATTTGATAACTTATCCAAGTTGTAGAAACGACCTATATGTAGATAACCAGCATATCAGTTAAGTCTATGGGTCAGAGGTGCCAGATTATCTGCCAGCCAGATATCTAGGAACCAATTAGTCTAGGGGCCAAAGGCAAAAAAGCACCCTTCTATTATTGCAATCAAATACTTCAGCCCTTAGACCAATTAGACAAACATACATATATATAAACCCTTGTATCAACTTGAAATGGGCTTACTCTTACTGTAGCGTTCTGTCTGTCGGTCTCACTACTGTAATCTTTTATAATAAAACTTCTGCTTTTCCCTTTCATTCGGAAAAGCCGTTCCCGCAGGGTGATTATTTAACTGGCGCCCAAACAGGGACTGCGAATAAGCTAAAATTCAAAAAGTCGTGACCATTTGTCCAGCAGTTGCGTTCAATTGACCCAAAGAATGTTTAGCAAGCA